CAAAATACCCAAAAAGAAGTTTGTAAAAAATTTGACACTTGTTCCAACATCTGATTGTGATTTGTTTTGTTCTAATCAACTTTTGCAAGCTTTTAAAGGAATAGGAACAGATCGAAAAATGTGTAAGTATTGTTTGATGTTATAAATGTCATCAACTCTAATAAATAAACAATTCTGACAAGTCAACTGTCACTCGACAACGAGTAATTTGACGTTTCGCAGCGCCATCATCGGTAATTGAACTCGCGAATTTTCCTCGAAACGAAAATTTCGCAACAGATTGTTAAGTAATTATTTTTACTCCTGCATCTGCAGCATCGGTATGATGGGAAATGTTAGAAATGCAGACCAAAAGGTGATATACTTTGTTATCTTATAGAAAAGTAGCGAATTCAATGAGTGAAAAGTGATCAAAAACCGCCAAAATTGTTAAAAAATCGAACTGATCGGGAAATATTATCAAAGTTCTCGTGTCGTGTTTGTTGTTGACGAGTATGTGAAATAATTACCGAGTTATTTATAGATAGGCGAATACCTATTATTTATGTGCAATGACTGCTTGAATATTAGCTGATTTTATTGAAGACACCCTATATATAACAAAAAAGATGAAACCAAGTGCGATGTTCACGTGAATAGTTCCAACCTAAAATAAGCAACATGAAGCAGATAAATCGACAAAAAAATCAAATACGTGGAAATAATGCAATATTTAATTGATTTTATCACTTCTGTAGTATTATGTATGTATGAACATATTTACAAAACAGTAACTAATACAATAATACTCACTGTGTCTTCAATGCGCCAAAATTGCTGTGAATATAAGCGAGTAAATTCACTCCGGTACTTGAAATGGGGATAAGCCGAAGTTTTCGTAGCAAACAAACCGGATTTCTACTAAACAACATTTATAATGGAAAGTAAAGGAACACAAATCAAGGTCGTGTATAATTGAAAGGAAGTGGAAGCGCTTATTTCAATCATTTCAATCTTCTACTGTTGTCATGTTTGCATTATTTCAACTAAATTCTCGGCTACTATTATTTTTTCACAACATTTCCAATAATTAAAACTAAATTAGGTCAAATATTATTAAGAAAAATAGAATTAAATGTTCGCATAGACATGGAGTATTGCCAAGTAGTGAAAATTGTATTGGGTCCAGCATTTTTGTATGTCGATGATGGACGTTTGACTTTTACAACTAAAATTATAACCTCACATTCTCAGTGCATGCATGTTTTGTCTATCGGTTAATTTTCGATTTTTCCGTAGTCACTAAAACAGCAAAAGTACATATTTTGAAAAATGGCCGGTCCTACAAAGAAGCCCAAGAATTCCGAAGAAGCACCTGTTGAATCAGGGGATGAGTCTATGAGCGAAGATAGTGATTCTGGAAGCTATCATGGGCAGCAGGTAAATAGATACTAAAACGGCCCAAACCAGATATATATAGCTATATACCAGATATATCTGGTATCACTTCGTATAGTTGAGCTTGCAATGGGTCAAGTATTATCTGAAACAAAGAGCTTAAAAGCTCAACTAGACTACAAAAGTACAGTTTGAACAAGTTACCTTTGAAGGATGTTGCTATAAATTAGAGTGCAAATGTTCCATGGGTTGCTTTCGGAGTAAATACAGTGATCCTGTCGTTTGAGTTCCTCCTCCAAATTTGTAGTTTTTTTGTATTTCTCCCGAATATTCCCAGACAAGTTCAGATAATTGACGCCAATTTTCAATCACTCTGTATACAAATGTCGGTACTGGCTAAGTAGCAAATATCCTTTATTCAACAATCAATAGTGTTCTTCTCAAACTTGACGGAAGCATCAACTGTTTTTTCAGGTAGTCCAAGCAACTTTTGAGGGAAGAAACCCAGAAGGACATGACTTTCATGGAATAAAACTGTTGTTATCACAATTGTTCTTAGGAGCAGAAATTGATCTCGGCCAAATGGCTGATATGCTGATAGCCCAAACTGGTGTGGGTTCTGTGTTGAAGCAGGTAAATGTGGCTGCAATATGGTATATATTTTTTTAAATCTGTGAATTATTTCTAAGAGCGACCTTGATAGCGACGAGGAAGATGATGATGCGGAACTGGTAGATCAAGCTGAAGTTTATGGCATAACCAGTGTTATAAATTTGACTTCACACAAAGAGACTCCTTGTGTTGTAGAGTTTTACTCTATTTTGGATCAATTAATTGCAAAGCACGCAAGTGATGAAGTGCAACAAGGGTTTAAAAAGATTTTACATGGACGTAACAAACTGGGTTAGTATTGTTGATCACATTAATTGCTTTGGCAATTGCCGGCTTGTTGATTCATTTTTTACTTCCAAATAATTGCTTTTTTATAAAACTTTTAAATAATTTCGCACTTTTAGGATTTCTTATAAATGAGAGATTTGTAAACATCCCCTCTAAAATATCAGCGGCAATGTTCAATTCTCTTTATGACGAGCTCCAAAGAATACAGAAGAAAGATAAGTCCTATGCATTTGACTACTTAGTTTTCATCTGTAAAACATCCAAACCGAAAGGAGAAACAGGTACATTTTTAATAGCAGTTGAATAATCTAATATTTTTCTTATACCAAATATTTAAATTTATTAGGCAAATATTGAACATTTTCAGATGCAGAGGAACAGTTTTCAAACGACGAGGAAGAAGTCTTTAGGAAGGCAGCAGATGTAACGTTTGATTTCAGTGTGGCAGATCAGTGTGATACTGGCTTAGAGGGCCGATGGCTGTCCGCAGATAAACAGTCGATTCCATTCAGAAGGATAATGCTGATCAATTATAGTAAATTAAAAGATGTTATCGATGAAATCACCATTTTAGTTCAGTAATATAAAATATATGTATGATTTAAAGGTTGTTTTATTTGAAATCGGGGGCTATTTAGTGAAGGCTTTTATCGTCATGAACTTTTATTCTTAAATTTGACCGTCAGATTACATTTCATGTATCGTGGGAAAAATCGAACGACAAAAAAATATATTGTTTAAATGTGAAAACCAGAATAAATTATCGGTATCAAAAATCGTTACGAAATATTTGAATCAAAATGTTTAAACGTACCAAATTGGTTTGGTTGTCCCGTATTTTGCTTGGCTTGAAAATGTAAATGAAAAACCAGCGTTACAGAAGTTTTGACAGTGAGGAAGTGAAAAAAGAATCAAATTAAATATAATGTAAAGATCGAAAATTATCAACAGAAGAACGTACTTAAAAGTTGAAATGAACTTACTGTTGTGGATTCTGTTCTGTTTGTTAAGATTTCCTATGTAATTTCGCGTTTGCGACAGACCAACTCTAAAGTTTCCCTTAAAATTTTATATAGTAAAATATAAAATGGCATAATATACATGATTAAAATCAAATCATGGGTTCTTCAGTCATTTATTGTTCATTTATCAATTTAAAAAAACGTTTCGGTGTTTTCCACCATCATCAGTTTTAATGTGTAGCGTTGTTGCTACTTTACGCCTTGGCATGTATAATATAATATACATGAAATTTCATTAAAACCAATTAGTAAATAAAAAAAAACATTATTTAAAAATGTCGACATTTAGAAGTACCAATTGATGTGTCCGAGAGATTCGCCTAAAAAATGTGTCGAGTCATTTCTTCGTTTATCGTGAGCATATTGTACTTGGTAAATGTATTCGAAAAAATAAATTGCGTTACGCGCAACATTTTCTGGTTTATTTTTATCCAAACGTGATTCACCGTTTATTTTTAAGCTTTGGAAAACATCGTTGAAATATCACCATGCGTTTTGATGAAATTTATCATTTGATATTTTTTAAGTTAAAGTTCAACACCCTGTAAATCCGCAATGTAAACGAGGCATTTTCGACTATCGTTCATATAGCAACCTAGTGTTATTTTCGGACCTACAATACCTGGTTAAAATACTGCCCCTTCGTCGTGAAACGCCTTATACAATATAAAAATTCCCAAATTTAATGTTTAGTAATTTATTTCATTAATAATCAACTGCAATCTCATTCTTAGTCTTACTCAACATTAATATACTTATAAGAACTTCTTTGTAATCCTTTTAAAAATCACAGATTTGTTATTTGCAGTATTCTAAAGATAAAATTACAATAAACTATCTTTAATCTATTCTTAAAACTACTGTACGTGTAGATTGTTGGTAGTCCTTTTAACGATATTTGTAATTACATTTGAATGATTATCTTTCAAGAAATATTAGTTATTTTTCCAGTCGGCAACTGGGTATTCGTATTTGATCTGTTCAAAATAGTCATCTATCAAGCTTTTTTACGGTCGGTTTTTTATCGGTTTAAGAAACTAGCATCTACTGATTGAAATCGATATAAATACATTTTTATATCATGAAAACTAGTTTGCATTGAATAAGAGTTATGTCTAATATCTAATATGTTTGGTGAATAAAAACCTATTTATTTGAAAAATTTCACTTTAAAAAATATATACATTTTATAAGATCAATGAAGTACCATATGGCAACAATACTGCGAAACTCGTAACTGAGAGAAACCCTTATCGCTTAGCCCAACAGTGGTCAATGCTGCTCGTCATCTCCATTACCATCTTCTATATGTTCCAAGTTGATACACTAGAAGAAAAATAATTCATTTTAGCTTTGTTATTACGCAGCACAAAAGACTCACATCAGCAACACTAATTCTTGGGAACGTAAATTCGGCATAAATCCAGGGTTTATCCTTCGGGTCCGGCTGTTGTGCTTTCCAGTCTTCATATCCTTCGGCTGCTCTCTTCAACTGTTTCGCCACTCTCGGCGCAAACTTTTGCGTTATTTTGTTTACCAACCATGTGGGCAGTTTGCCTTTTGGGTCAGTTTGGGAAATGTATCCTAAGAAACAACCAGGTCCAGATTTTCTCACCACAAAGCCTGTAAGGTATGAGGTGGCTCTGAAATAAAGTGGAGTTTTAGTTAATTCATTTTTGATATATTTCCGTGGATTTTTAAAAGTTTTATCTTGGATTTACCTGCACTTACCTTACAAATCCTTTTTTCTGGCCATAATCTTTATGATTAACTGAATGGTTAATGATTAGTTTTTCGTTACCCAAGTCGAGCCATGACCTTTGCAGGACAAAGTCTCTATTCTTTACTGGAGCAGGGCAAGACACTGAAATAAACAGCCAGATAAAGTCAAAATTTATCGCAGCAAGGAGTTACAGAAAATATATGTTTCGTATAATTTTCTTCACGGGATTTTCGTTATTCTACAAATGCTGAATATAAAATTTACACTTTTTGCTCATTTTCCAATAAGATTGACATAATGAACATAAGATGAACATAATGAGACATGGAGATAGTTCTCAGAAAGAATCCAAACAGGTTTCTTTCTTTAATGGAAACGAGACTTAGGACGAAAATATTTTTACATTTGTTTTGGATTCATTTTTATGTAAAACATCCTGTAGACAAAATATTATTATTATCACTGCAGAACTATTTAGCATATTAAGTTAGCTTGTGTGTTTTTGCATACAATTATTGCGTCAGATAAAGTTTCTATAGGGCGGCAAATTAAACACAGTGCAAACTCGGTAACAATTCCATATGCTCTTAGTTGGACAAAAAATATTCTTCCAAACCCAGATGAAATTCGTTATGATTTCAATTCATTTTTCGTCCTTTTTTTGAGTTTCATTCATTCATTTATTATTCGGGTATCTACTTTTTAGGTGGAGCGATTCTCAATTGAAAATTTGACCTAACTGCTCAACAAAACAACGTTGCACTGGCAAAGTTGGACCAACTGAATAAATTCTGATTGCTGCGGGCGATTTGATTTCTATTTGAAGCGTTCTTTAGTGCAATTATTTCTCGGTTAGTGCGTGCTTTTGCAAAAAATTAGTGCTTAAGATAAAGTTTCTACAGGGTCGCAAATGCAATATTGCAAAAGTTGGTTCAAAAAACGTGTTTTTTGTATTTCAACAGCACAATCAGTAACATGAGCCCCTATATCTCGAAAAAGTTTCCGATTTTTTCTACCATTTAGTTTATTTACAGTGGAGTGGTCTAAAAAAATATACATTTTTGTCTTGCAGTAACACACTTTTTCTCTTGAACCCATTTTCAAAATCTAGAGTTTATGTTGAAGCTACGACGTTGTACTCGACTTCAGAAAAAAATCAATATACCGGGTTGCGTTGCATGAATGAACGAAATATTTGAAAGTAAATTTCAATTACTCAAAAATATTCCTGAACCACAGATTTCGGGAGTAATTTTGATTTGAATAATTTTTTATGCAACCCTGTATATTACATTGTCTGTCTCTTACATTGTATGTGAAGTTTTTTGCTTCAAAATGAGCTCAAGATTGATAAAATCGGATCAATAGCAGAACAGTTGCACAAGTTGATTTTTTGAGACCACCCTGTAAATAGAAGAGATAAACGAAAAATGCAAAAGCTGTTTCGAGCTGTTGGGTTTTTATCTTGAAGCTTTTGGTGTCGTTGTGGTGTAGTCGTATGATGTAGTTCCAAAGAAACGTATTTTTCTCCAACTAGGAGCATGCCGAAATGTTCCAAACTTTCAATTTTTTCATTTGCCACCCTATAGAAGATGTCTCTTAGGTGCTGAATTTTTTCCACAACATGGATTAAGAAAACACAAACGGTGCTAGATAACGTTTCAAACAGAAACCAAATCGCTCAAAGCAATCAGAATTTATCCGGTTCCAAAGTTAGGACAAATTTGCCTGTTGAGCAGTTTATATCTGAATTTTTCGATTTATAGAGTGTTAAACTTATAATGAAAAGATAAAAAATCGAATTCTATTGGCTCTATAATAATTTTCATGATAATTCAATATAACCAATAAAAATTTAATATTTCCCAAGAGACATTTTTTAAAGGCGATGTGAACTCTGATTAGAAGTGTGCTAAAGGATCAACTGATTGTTGCATAAATCGTGTACATTTATCAGTTACTATAAATTCTTAATGGATAACGGCCTATTAAGTTTGCCCCCCCTGTCCATCAAACGGTATTCTCATAGATGGGAATCTTGCAACTTAGAAACAAGCTATTTTTTCAGTTAAAGAAATACATTTAAAATTGTCGGCACTTTTCAAATAAGATTCGAGACTATCAGTTTGAAAAAAGCGTGAAAACTAACAGTTTTTTAAATCTCAGATTTGGGAATGCATTATTTGAAATGACGAAACATTTAGTTGAAATTGCATTTATCTTACATGCATAATATCCAACGTCATTGTTCGGGTTCAAATAGCCTATTTCGGTGGAAACCAGCATATGTTCATCCCATTTCTTGCGATAATCTGGATCGTGTAACACATCGAACATTGTGTTTGCCGTTATATTTGAAAATGATGAGTGAACTTTTACCATTTTAAAATTCGTTGCTGGCGTAGATTTGGTCCAGACCTGAAAAATACATAAACGATTCAGTAAACCGATAAATACATTTTGATGTACTGAATGAATCAAATTTGTGCTAAATTTACAATTCTGCCGATCCTTTCCCATTACCTCTATAAATATTCTTCAATTTATTTCGATTGGTCTTCTAACGTGCAAATAACAGAAAACATACATAAGGGACTAGTTTATGGTTTTCCTAACTTTACGAACCTATTCGTCTTGTAAAGCATTTACAGTAGTATACAATTGCTATATTTAATATGTATATTTTTAGCCTGGTAATGACCATTAATATCAGGTAAATGGTATTCATCTAAATAAATTAAGCGGATGAATTTCATAAATAACTCCGTTCCGACCTTGATTAGAACAGAAGCCCGATATTGTTTATTAACAATTCATTACATTAGAAGCACGAGCGTTCAATTATGTAATAATTGCGGACTATTTAGAATCGAAACAGAAGAGGTTTAAACTAATGAGAATTAATTGTTAGCTAGCTGGAGAAAGGGTTTCCACTTTTTTTAAATTGAAAACATGATGAAGTCAGATTTATTTTTGTCTTTATCTGATTTTTTTATTGGATATTTTTTATTTATAAACTTAAAAAAAATGATATTTATTATGAATGTATATTGTTCTGGTCTCAATAAGAATAGCACATTTGTTCTTTCATTCATTCTCTTTTCTATTTAATTATTTTACCTTTATATTTTCTGAATTGCTATCGTACTCTAACTTCCAACCGTCGTGGTCGTCCACCAACCGTTTCAAGTTGCAGAAGTCGCTGTCTTCTGCGATTTTCACTATACCAACGTCCATTGTATTCTGAAACAAAAAAGTTCACATTTGATTACAATGTAGGTATTTTTCTAAAAAAAATTCGCTCAATATTGCCCAATTTTAAAATAAGGTTTTTTCTTTATGCATCAATTAAATGCTCTTCCTTAACTATTGTTCCAAAGAACATCTTGAGAATGTAATTTGCAGCATTCAATTAACAGATTTTTAATTTCCAATATTTCAACCAAGGTTGGGCAATTTCACGGTTATTGTAAAGTTGTAGAAAATGCTGAACAATCTGATCGCAACCTTAAAAAAATATTTATTACTCTTATCAAACTTGTTGTTGTATGGCAATTTAACCATTGTTCAGTTCAAATTCAATGATTCATTATTTATCAGCAAGAAAAGTAAAAAATATAGCAACATTTCCATTGAATTAGAACTGGAAGGTTATAAAAATAATCATTATCACATCGAAACTATGTGGTGATCCAGTTTCAATCGTGAATTAAAAAAATAATTTAAAAGACGGATTGTGGAACATTTTTTCCAGCAGTGTTTATCGAACATTTCAAAAACTTTTATAGATATCGCGTACAATTTCCGAATACCTAGTTTAACGCGACTAATTATGACTATTTTATATCATTAATTATAGGATTTACTATTAGAATAATTAATTCCTTTAATCAAGATCTTTTGTCAGTATGTTAATTCACAGCATATTTATATTCTTTCATTATTACATAGATTTTTAAAATTGCATTCTTACACAATTTATACACAGTCAGTTTATAATAGCAGGACCTTAATGGTCGATAGACAGTCTAATTTTCAGATAAAAATATCATACAAACATATTGAAAACGGCTTCGTATTTCAGATACAGGGTGGCGAAGTTAACATTTTATTTCAAATTTTTCTAAATAATTCAAGCAAATCTTAAGGTACTGTAATAAAATTCTACATTCTAGGACTTATCGCAATACCACATCCAATCATGTCCAAGTTTTCGACAAATTTACAGAGAGGGCCACATGGCACTAATATTTAATTTCTAAATAATAATTTATCACTTTTGCGTCCACCCGTATCAACCTGATTTTAAAATGAAAACATTTTCCACTCATATTTACGTAAGAAAGATATTCTTGTTTGAAGTCGCCAACAGTAACAGTTTTCGATATTTTTGCAAAAACCATTTTAATTGCAGTTGAATCACAACAATGTAACAAAGTTAAATTAAACAAATTTAGATTTCTAAAGTAAATTTTCAATGATTCGATGTGATATTGCGATAAGGCCCAGAATATAGAATTTTATTACAGTATCGTAAGATATACGAAATAATTTTTTTTTAATGTTAACCTTGCCGCCACGTATCTCAAAAACGAAGACATGAATATATGTTTGTATGATATTTTCATCTTAAAATTGCATTTTCTTTCGACCGCTAAATTTTTCCACTTTAAACTGAGACAACCTGTATTACATTGCAAAACACAGCTTTAGTGCGGATGATTTTTAATCTATATGTATGTGTTTTTACTACTACGAACTGAAGTAATTAGTCACTTTTTAAGCTTTTATTATCACTCTAGTAACATGTTAAGTTAATAAAAGTATTTGTTTGCTCGGATTATCAGTAAGCAGGCAAAACTTTGTTTAAGCAGAATTTTATCTTAAAATCTTGTTTTTCCCAAAAAAATAATAATTTATAATTTTTCTAAAATTAGAACGATGCATTAAGAAGCATAATAAAAATCAACAGATTCGTACCACTTTCTTTGAAAGCTTTTTCTTGAAAGCTAAAAAATATGTTTTGCAAATTTTTTCGAACTTTCAATTCCTTTCTCGCGTAAAATGCACCATTTACTTTGTCAGGATTTAAACTGAATAATCCTGTATTAGTTGATTTAAAATTTGAGAACTGATTAGTTTTCTTTCGGGTCAGTCTTGATTTTTTTCTAATTTAACACATTAATTTTTTTCTACTTCAGTTCAATTAGTCCAGATTTATGTATAAATAATCAACCTTAGTGACATACCTAGTACGTGGTGTATGAAATAGTTTGATTTCGATATTGTACAGTTAGATATGGTATTCTTTGTAATGGGCATTTTGAAAATTAATTTTCCAAAAATGAAAAATATGTTATTGAAAATAAGTTTACCAAAATTAAGGAACCATAAAAATATGTGGATTTTCTTATTTCTAACTGCTTAGAAGCAATCACAATATATTTTTATCTAACTGGAGAGCCCAAATTCATTTATTCCGAGCTGTGTTCAGGTGGCTTGTTAAATGTTGCTATTTACAATGTAATATATTAGAAGTTCCGCTTTCTAAACATACTGTTCTGGTGTATTATAAATTGGGAATGCGTGTAAAACTGCTATGAAACGTAAAAACTGCAATTGCCTCAACAGAAAAATATCCCCAAGTTCGAACTGAAACAGAATAGAGACTAAGAACTGTTATAAACATATGCTTATAAATAGAACGTTTTTGTTCAACCTTTCATTTATTTTAACAATTCCAACTTCTCGTTTACTGTTATGAGTCTAAAGACGTCATGTACTTTATGCGTTATAATATGAGAAAATATACAATCTTTTATGCCGTTGAACTGAAAATATTTCAGATAACACGTTATAAACAGTGAGACAAAAGTATACGTATAAAGCAAAGGAAGAGGAAAAGTGTTGCTGTTATAATTCTATTTTTTGAAGATAAACATGCTTTAGATATTAAAAGCTACTTGCTATTGGGACATTTACAAAAAATCATTATTTCTTAAATATCCAATTTTGGCGCTATATTTCTTTGATTTCATGCGTTTCCTTGTGTGGCATTAAAATGCCTTTTTTGAAAAACAAACTATATATAAAAACGAGTTTTTTTCGTAATAATAGTCTACAATTGCTTTTGGAATTGAGTTGAAAGTGAGCAGTGAGTCTCAATTCATTACTGTAACAACTTATTTCACTTTCTTTACCGCATATGCCGTTATTTCGCAAAGAGGAATTATTTGAAACATTTTATTTAAAAAAAATCAATTTTTCGACAATTAAATTGCTGAAACTTACTGTTATATTACATTAAATTATATTAAAACGAAAGCGCTCTTATAAAAGCCTAATGTTAATTGATTGTTTTCGATAAAGACCAATAGACCCACCCTATCGACTCAATGTTACGTCAATAAGCCAACAAGAGTAATAAAAATAGCAAAAGCAATTTTCCTGAAAACGTGACGATTTGTTTCGTTAATTCGAACATCCTAAATTCGACTTACTATAATTGTTGCATATATTTTTTTATTTCGGTTTGAAGTCACGCAAACTGGCCATTTAAATAGCAATTGACTAAGGAAATAAACTAAAAAAACAGCCAAATTGCTAAAACGTAATTCCAGGATATGAGTGAAATATTTTGTAATAATTCTATAGCCGATTTAAACCTAAATATTTGATTTATGCAGTCCTAATGATATTGTTGCATGGATCGTATTGTGCAGTAGATACATATAGAACAATCCTGTAAAAAAATTGCTGTTAAAACAAAAAAACCCATTTAGTAGGTTTTTAATTTCTCCTATTAACTAGATATTGATAGTGGAAGAATTTATCCTTTATACAGCATGCAAATTATTTTTCTCCGATAAACATGGATCGGCGAATGCTTATTTTTGACACTACACTGTATGCAAGTTATATATTTTTCCTGGTTTAGGGTATTATTAAAAATACATTTAAATATTGGTACTTATGCAGAATACGGACAATTTGTGCAATGTTTGCAGATAATTAGCTTGAACAATTGCTACCTTGTATATCGACGTTTCGTATGATTAAATTTGTTTCGTTATCAGTATTGACAAAAGTATGTACACTTGGTGTCAGAAAACTCAGAAACTGTCGAGATATCGGGCTGTTAGGATTGGGCCGTATCTTTATACAGCTTCTAGAGAATTTATTGATTAAAGGTCCGTGAAGACTTAATACAAAAATTGTACCTAATGCTGTTTTAACTCGACAATGGATTGGACCAAAGAAAAGAACATGGTAAAGTCAAAAGAATCAAATTCATGGTTTTAGATGGAACATCCCGTAGGTATATTTATAAGTTTGAATACGTCCGCCTTCAGTTTCAACATATCCTCTGCAATATTCATCCAACTAACGTGGAAGTTTGAAGCTGCCAAAAAGTAGAACATATCATAAATAGACATAACAACATTTTAAAAATTGTGTGTTTCGTTTTTGTATTTTTTTGTGTTTTCATTATCTTTTATATGTAGTTTTACAAATAAACTCAACTTATGCAGTGAATCAATCGTTCTCTAGATATGTGCCTTTAAATCCTACAAGTGTTGACATCTTACTTTATAGACTTTGTCCTTTATATAGCCTGATAAAAAATGATCTAACGGTGTTAGATCAGGACCGTTTGCTGGCCAGTTAATGGTATAATAATTAGTAGTGGCGTTGAGTGCATATGTTTATTTATGGCTAGTGTGCTTTGGAAAAACAATATAATTACCATTTAAAAAAATGAATCCAGCCTTCGAAAACGACTGATAAATAAATAAATATCAAATTGTCATATATGTTCGAAATCAGAAGAAATATGTATATAGTCCGATTGATAATATGTATAGTATAGGCTGTTCAAGAAGAAGCTCATCAATTTCTTTTTTATTTGAACTTTGCCACGTTTTTTTCTTTCATTCAATAATACAAAAGAGAAGCCCAATCACATTTTATTTGGAATTTCTATAGCCATATTCTGTTTAAATATACGGACTTTTGAATGTAAATTGTGTGACAATTTGTGTCCAAGTGTTTGAAAAAATCTACTATAAAGGAAGTATAAAACGACTCTCGGCAGTAAAACAATAAAATTGATGTTTTAAATGAAAACTATAGAAAATAGAAGAAGCTATAAATGTACACTATTTCCGTACCACCTGTAGCTCCACTAAAGCACAAAATTCAATAAACTGTGTGTGTTGCAGCAACCACTTTCAGTATTCATAACAACTTAAAATCATTATCAAATGGCCTAGTTTCCGCAAATGTTTATTTCCATTCGGTGCTATGGAAAACTGGTTTCTAATATCTGACTCTTTGATGTCCGTTGATGATGGCAGTCGAATGTACGAGCGAAACGTAATAACAGATTTTGAAGGGTCTGGAAGAAATTTTCCTGCTTTTCCGACATTGATTAATTTACTTTATCCAGAAAGTTAATTAAAACAGATGAACGGATACCTACTATATGGGCGCAGGGGTCTTTGAACCCTTATGCAGTTCGCTTACGCCCTTCTGTAATCACTTTGATATCGAAGGCTTTTCATTTAATTTTTAATTACATTTTCGCCGCAAAGAATATTGGAAACTTACCGGAGTAAGAGTCTTTTCCAAACTGGTTAATATCAAACCAAACTTTACAATCGAAGATGAAGGCACTCTTGGACATTTTTTAGAACATCCTTATCACAAAGATTCTATGTAGAACATTCTACACGCCACCCGTAACAATAAGTGGTCTTCATCCGGCTTTGACCAACTTATCAGCTTTTAAGCCCGGCTGACCAAGCTTGACCGAATTAACATGGCGAAGTCACACTTGATGATTTTTGCAACCAAAACACATTCATACACTTTACTTGCTGGAGACTGTTATTGAAATGGAAGATTTATTGTTTCTATTAACACGATTTCGCAGGTTTTAAAATGACGCGCAAAGCGTAAGCGAAAATATGAAATGGAACCGACGCTGCTGCCGGGCGTCTACTGGCGTCACGGTGCGGATTGCGGGTGTAAAAAGACCAAAATACGACGAAATCGCCCACGTTGCCTCCTGCAGAATGGGCTAAATTTCAGTAAATTGGCTTTGGAGTTTGCCAGTCTCTGAACCATATTGTGCTAATACGAGGCGGAATAATAAAGTTTTGAATATGGGCAATTTCCACATTCAAGCTGCACAGGCTTAAACGGATTTCTTCCGCAGAAAATTCGCTTTGCTATGTTATTGATCCCAGAAACGCATAAAGCACATGTACGCTCTCGAGCATTACTCTTCGTATTAATTCCCTTCCAACATACGATTTATTATTCCCCCGGAGTTAACCCCCGTGTATCTTAACCAGTTGATAGCTATTTTGCTACTTAATGTCCAAATATTTATCATTCACATGATTTTTATGATTTTTTATTTTCTTTATAAAAACGCTATATCATATTTACAACCCCTTCATCCCCAACTACCCCAACTTTTTGTTCAAATGAAAAAGTCTTCGATAACAGTATTCGGTGGTATAGAAAAATATGTAACTGCTACTTCCGTTAGTTACGAGTTACAAGCTTAGCTGTTTTAGAGTTTTTCGAAAAAAATTTTATGAAACAGGAATTAATTTTATGTGGGGCATTAGAACACCCCTGTACAGAATTGCTTCATTAACTATGAAAATTGGGTAAACTGAAAACATCGTATGTTAAATGGCCTTATCTGAAAGCTGATAATTTTAGATATACATACATAGAATCGAAGACAACGTTTTTTGTTCCGTATTTTTCTAGAATTTTTTTATTGTAAATGTGATTTCTATTCAAAGGAGAAAATGTATATTTTTTGATCATCTTTTTCAAAAAACCGATGGAACGTAATGAACCTGGATAAGCCCTGGTTGAAATTGTTGGAACGAAATTGATTATACAGGGTGTCCAAGATGCGGATGCATTGCATGGGGATCTCCGAAACCGTAAGATAGTCAGGGATAAGTCGGTTAAATTAGGAAAATGTCCCGCAATCAGGTGGTCATATACATGGCGTTTTCAAAAAAGTTTATTTTTTATTTTCCAGATATTTAGAAAAAAATGATTCTCGTTTTTATTCATTTTTGAAGTTATTTGAAATCATATCAAAAAGTCAAAAATACTTTCTTATCGCATCTTTTCGAGCTCTACAAGCTAAGTCTATTAAAAATAATTCCGTTTCGTTTCTTAGAAACCATCATAAACTTTTATTTTTCATTTGGACCAGAAAAACCGTACAAAATGTATTATATAGTTCTTTTTTAATGGATAATTCAACAATGTACACTGCGACGTGTACCGGTTTTTGCGTCAATTTTTTTTTAATTATGTCTATTTACATGTACAACAACAAATATCATGAAAGAAGACAGCTTAAAGGTGAAAATTGACGAAGAAAAAGTTATATAAAAATAGGAATTTAAATTAAATGAACCTACTAAAATCAAAAGAAACGAAAAAAGTCGATAGACGTCGGAAATTTGACCATAAAGCTGACTCTTATTTCAGGATATCTATTGTACAAGTTCAGTCAATATTGGTTATTAATTCGAAAACAGTCGAAAATCACTATAGAACATTTATATCGTTAAAAAAGCTACCTAATACGTTATGTACTTTTTTTCGGTCCATATGAAAAACTAAAGTTGATGATGGTTTCAAAGAACTGAAATACTGCCATAAATTTTCATTGACATCATCTTGTAGAGCTCGAAAAGGTGCAGTAAGAAAGTATTTTTTTGTTTTTTGATGTAATTTGAAAGGATTCCAAAAATGATTAAAAACGAAAATTCGAAAAATAATTTTTTTCTAAATATCTCAAAAATTAAAAGAAAAACAAGTTTTCTGAAAACGCGATGTATATGACCACCCGATTGTGCGACTTTTTCCTAATTTAACCGATTTCTTATCTCTTACGGTTTCAAAAATATTCCCATACAATGCAACCTTGGACACCCTGTACACTGAGTAACAACAACAGATCCAAAGAAAATATGACTTTTGTACTAAACTAGTTTCTGTTCACTATACCACTTTAAAGTTAATTTTTTTGTAAAATCTAGCTAGATATTTTTTCACTATGTTTCTTGCTTGCAAGTTCACTAATTTACTTTAGTTTTTCCATATAGTTATTTAAAAAGCCTTATGGGCAATTAATATCAGATATGTAAAAAACAACTCTCGTCATTCAAATTTGTTAAAAGCAGCTCTCTTGGATACGTAAATCAACAGCAGTTTGTGAAGATTCGTTGTATGAATGTGCAATAAAGGCTTTGGCAGTGAATTAGAAAAAAATTGAAATAATGTAAATATAAATAAAATCGGGGAGTTAAGGAAAAAAATAAACTTCTTTGAAGTCTGCTCCCTTTTGTAGATTGAGAACATCGTTGGATTTACGAATATACACTGAAAAATTCTGAGGTGTTAAGTATGTATCTATCAAAAAAAAACTTTGAAAACATTTCTATAATGGAAATAAATAAATAGGCCGAAATTGCCAGTAAATTACTTTAATAAAAATTTTCTCAAAATAAAATTTTCGATTCATAACACTTTCTACACATCTCTTCAACTGCGTTACCAATCTTTCAGCAAAAGTACATGTGAAGAAAAACGCTTTCAACATTGAACTTTACCGCCAATTTTGAGAGGGGGACTATGAAAGTGTTATTAAGTGTTTCGAATTTGTGTGCGTCTCATACAAAGATTGCGTTGATTTGCTGTTTTATCAGTTGTAAAATGTATATTTCCTTACCATAAAACGACGTGAGTTAAATGATGGATATGTCGACATCGAAGACTTGGTATTTTCGCTGTGCATAAGATAAATATGACTTTTTTTGCTAAACTAGTTTCTATACACGATGATGATAGTTTTGTTGTAAAATATTCTTATTTTTCACTATGTTTCTTGTTTGCAAGTTCACTAATTCTCTTTAATTTTTCCACATATTTACGTTACAACACTTTTCCGTTAATGTTTTGCAAAGCATCTTAACGAGCGCACTTTCACTGATCTATTTTTCCTTAATCTCACGGGAAATTTGCTAAATTACGTAACCTTGTTGAGGAAAATGAAAAACTCACTTTGACGTGGCTGCATCATACTGGAAAACATTGTCATCGAGAATATTAACTAACTGCCACTTATTTTCACAGGTGGCCTGGTTCTGTGATTAGATACGTTTAAATAGGGAGTTGATAGCGCTTTGCGTTGTTTGCATATGTAAATTAAATGAACCACACAAACGCATCAATATATTATCGCCTTTTTTTCGCTCACTTTTATTTTATCTCTGTAATTGTTTTCCATGTGCGCTCCGCTAGCTTGATGTTATAAGGCTAATTGTGTCAGGGCTATGCAAGTACTTGAACACCATTAGGTAACTACAGTGTGGTCCATCTTAATATGTGAGCCTCATTAAGGACATATTCTGCACATAGAAGCATAAGGAAAATGTTTTTTTTATAAATTAGCTCTGCTTGAATCATTGAATAAACCCGCCGTCAAGAAGTCTATTTAATTCAAGAAAAAAATTATAAGTGGCTCCCGAAAAATAGCCAATATGCGTATATAAGGCAAATTCCACAAATAAATCCGTATCCCAAATTATAGATAAATATTACCAATAATAGAGGAACTATAAAGAAAAATACGCGATGGTCCAAAAGTGTTAGCTAGCGGAAGTAGCGGCTTTCATAAGTACGCTCTTTGGACAAGTGCTTATTTTATTCGAAGAAATACCGAAAAAATTTAAAAACTGTCACAGCTAGAATCTTTTTATAAGGTAGCTTTGAGAAAATACCGAAAACTTCTCATAAAACCACATAGTTTCCAAGCAAAACACTGCGTCTCTAGACTTTCGAAAATTTCCAATAAATGTGCATAAGCAAATCACCAGACTTTTTGCTAGATATTGTGGAAATGTTTTACATCCCCAAACAAATCGAGTCTATTCTTCCAAAAAGCAAAAAAACAACATCCTTGGTACTTCTCCCAGCAAGTTTTTCTAAATGGACTGTTCGTAGGCTTAATACGTTTATGAGACTTAACATGCATACCGAGCTTCATCCTCTTACCTTTTGCGATCAACAATATGAAAAATAAATACTCATTGACTTTTAAGAAGCTCTACCTTTGCTAGGCGATATTTTCAGTCTCCATGCACACTATTTGCATCGAATAAGTCTGGTAGATTAAAATTGGACCACCGTGTAATCGATTTTACCCATCACGAGAAATCGGAAAGCCGACAGTAGAACAAACATGAAAGTTGATAGTTTCGAAAATATGGTGTTCAAAGTTACATTTTCTTAAATATTTTGCCACTATTCTGAAGAAATTTCCGTTAAGAATGTGTGTATGTGCAATTTGTATTATTTGTCACAACGCAAATAAACAGGGCCTTTGAATGTTTCATTTGGAACCAAATACAGAAAACCAGGGGACTAATGTCTGGACTTCTGGATGGCCAGAAGAAAATGCCCATGCTCCATCTAATCATTTGGAAAAACTCTATCTAACTATGAACACAGATGTCAAGAAAAATGTAATTGAGCTTTTCAAACATTTTCTTCCATAAAGCGATTGGTCGGAACGTTTTTTAAAATTAAATACAAATTATAGATTTACCAGGTAAGCACTTATTAGAGGATGAGTTAATGCTCTAGAATCTACAACAGAGCAGAATCATGGCTTTGTTATGTTTGTAGAAAATGGGAAAGTCGTAGGCGAGCATCAGAATTTTCAGAAAATCCATTTTACACAAGTGCACCGGGCAAAATTAAAATGGAAGGGTTTATCCTTGCTTAAAAGTACCTATACAAATTGAATTGTGGACCTGCATTAAGTTATTCATGTAATTGTTTTTGTGCAAGAGTAAAGAGAAAAATAATTTTCAAACAGTTTCGTCTTGTTAAGTTTTCTTCAAATCGTCAGCTAATTTATTTGGATTTTGGGTAGCGCTATTCAAAACTTGGTCTTATTAGCTGGTCCGAAAAACTTTTTAATGCGTTCTATCGTCATCGCTGAAAGTCAAGACCCGGCTGCTCTGACGTCACCAGTAGGCCCAGCCGGTAAGATACCACAGAAGTAGAGTAGGCTCTCACTCTCTCTCACTGCGAAATGGTTCTTGTGACGTCAGAGCAGTCGGGGCTTGACTTTCGGTGGAGTCGGTTCTATCGTATTTTAGGAGGCAAGGATTTTGTTTACATCCTTAAATAGTTTGTGATTTTAATAACTTCGGTTAGAATATGATTCAGAAGATCTTCGAGCAGAAGCAAGTGGATCGCATTTTGTKTCTTAAAATTCTCTGAAACTRCGAAAGCGTTTAATATATCAAATGTGCGGCTACTTAGGACGTCTTGATATAAAACTTACATTTATTCATAGTAATTACACATAGTAAGTAAGCGGGCTGAAAATGCACTAAAAAAATAATGTGAAAGTCGTACGATTTATTGGTCGCTTTTCATTCCCTTCCACTTGGCATTCGAAAGATACCTAGAAAACGGTTTTATGWCCTACCGGCACCCCAAAGGAACAAGTGGGATGGTTTYCTCGGAAGTCTTGAACGTGAAAAACTGAGGTTTAAAGAATATTTTTGTTCTTTATGTTTGCCGTTGGGGCAGTTTTCACWTTAATATTATCATTAAGCTTATCTCCATATAATAATRTCATAGCCGGAAAGCAAATGAAACTCTACTTGATAAATAATTAATTGCTTTTCAGACTTTCGTAATCCCATCAATTCTGATATTGTCACCACCGACAGATTCCATAAAATAATATATGAAACAMATAACGCAAGTTTAACCCATATACCCATTTGACTGTGAACATTTTCTCAACRGCTAATATAMTTTTAATAATTTTTTATCGAATCATTCTTGACCAAAATTTAACTTTTAAAATAAGCAAAATAAATGTATTAAAAACATTGTACAGGKTCTTTAAATAGTGTCATGTTTTCTTGGTCAAAGTGAAAATTTATCTGCGAGCAATATTGCATASACRTAATTTTTTATTATTTCGGGCTGAAAATGCRACSGGTCATAAAAATATGAATATCTCTCGAATGGCTCAGCATAAACATACGATTAAAGATCCAAATTACTCAGAAGGCATGAGGTTATAATATCGAATACTGTTTTCTATTTGGSACACCCTATATTGCCCGCAGCAAAACGATTTAAACTTTGACGAAGAAAACATGAAAATATTTAAACACCCTGTACAATTTGTTTAGTTCATTTTTATTATTATCTTATAACTTAAATTTTGTCCGAGTAGATAAAAAAATTATTCAAGTCGCAATTTGATAAGGRTATAATAACTTGAAACATAGTTCTTCGGTTTTAATTGAAGAAATTGTACAAAACTCAATTATGGAAACTGAATTAATGATGGAAAATTTAGAYCTGGACCTATAGCAAGTGTATACGTAATATATATAATATAATATTCTTAGYGATGAAGCCGGCAAAACTTTACAATAAAACATCTAAATGAACATTTAGTAATTTTATGTTTGAATAATAATAATTTCACTTGTTTGTTTCTCGGTTTTATTTAGAATAGACTTAAAGTTTTAGGCAAACATGCTTAAGTTTTTTGACGKAATTAGATTAAATYTATTTTTAAAAAACCCTGTTCACTTCTTTCATTTTACATTTCAATTCAAAAAGTAAAATTAGTACAACACTGAAAAAACTTTCTACATTTYTACATGCTTTTTACGAATAATACAAATTATTATGCTTTTCTTGGAGAAATAAATTTGCTTTTKAAGACAATTTTAGTGCATTTTAATCSGGACTCTATTTATCATCAACATTATTGATAATAAATATTATTTTAWAGTTTTATYAKGATATATCTTTTAATGATACAAAAAAAAGCAGCTGCTAAGTGTTTAGCATAATCGTAAGAAAAGTTRGTCWAAAAATCAACTAGTTTAATAAAACGTGATATCCGCTCTTCAATATCTTCACTGGTTTCCAAGTWACTGTAGGAATTCATTATTAACTTTTACTTTAACTAAAAAAAAACGACTGCCACGAGGGTTAAATTGGTAATACATAATTATTGTTCTTTTGTCTATGACTTTGTCTGTTCATATTGTCTAATTTCATAGACMCTTTAAAAATAAAGAAATACTGCGTGTGTTCGGTTTGAGCTTGTCAAATCGAGCTTATAACGTTTTGAATTTGCCCATGATGTTGTTCCGTGAGAGTAATCGGATTTTTACAAAAACTGTTTCCGCATTTAAATTAAGGCAGATAGAGCGCAACGAAAACAAAAAGCAATTAGAAAAACCAKTTCTGAATTAAATAAGTTTTARTGCTATTCTGTTGCCAACAGCTTTAAATCGAATTGCAATWTGAAACWAWYTTTTCTGYTTTTTTCGTTTATGTTCCGATTCTAATCTCCATACCTACAATATTCCGGGTGTCAWTTTGAAAAGTTCTCACCCTTAATATCTTTCTTGCAGWTGAAAAWATGAAAAAAATAAGGCCCATCAATTTTATTTGTAAAGGAGACACAWTTTATTTAAATAAATATTWTTAGCTTCCTTGTTTCAACCCCCTTGGACGGGTAGATGCTAACCTGAAAACAAATATCTGAATGCACGCAAGTATAATTGTTTCATCAACTTTGAAACGCGGTTATTCGAAAGCCTCCGAACAATAAGCAACAACGTAGTAACTAATATAAAGATAATTGAACGCCCTTTAAAACGATGTGCCACTTGACCCCCCTTCCCATTTAAGATTCTAATGATAACATCTACCCGTCCTAGGGGTTGAATCAAAGAGGCCAAAAATAGTTATTTAAAGTGTCCCCCTTACAAATAAAATTGACCGTTTTTTTCATATTTTCAACTGCAAGAAAGGTATTAAGGGTGGGAAGTTTTCAAATTGACACCCGGTATGGTTTGATTAAAAGTTACAAAAGCTACAAAAATAGAAAACAAACCTGTTACATAAAAAATGGCACGGATTTTACATTTTTATCATAACAACTGAGTTATGCTATTAAATATAAAAATGTGCTTAAAGTTCTCTTGAAAACTAGCTCGATTTTAAAATGGTTTTAATGAAATCGAGTAAACATGTTATATTCCTTCATTATTACTCACTTCCATCAAGGCGCATTTTATGTTAATGCCTATATCAAGACCAGTATTATTGAGAAAATGATTGAGATCAGTTTTTCAAGGGATTCAAAGGATTTTTATTCAAGATGTGGATAATTTGCAGTCAACTTAACATTTTTGTAACTGGATGACCAATTGCGTCCTTTCTTGCGATTTTGGAAACTTAGCAAAACATTCAGGGAACTTCTCAATTCTTTTTAGCAAGTAAACCCTCTAACAAGAAGATTTCAACCCTGCCTGGCCGTACAGATTCTAAACTGTAGCTAAAAGAGATAAATACCTTTTTAACTGCTCCTTTGCCAGTATCCAAACTTATCAATTAGTTTTCGCCAGTAGAATTACGCGAAGAAATACAAAAACTACGAAATGGCACAGCTCCACAAACACACAGCACAATAACTGTAATACTAACTGCAACTATAACTCAAGGCACAACCAAAAGAAGCTCATTTTTTTGGAATTTGATAGTGTGAAAACGACCACAATGTTCGTCAAGGATGGTACTTTCACCCATTAGAGGGATGACCAGTCTATTTAATTTTAGCCAACAAGGTCGAAGTGAACAACGTCGCCGTGCTGTTCTTCTGCAATGCAAGATATGGTCAAAATCAAGGGCCAACTTAGTGTTTTAATGATTTCACTCGAACAGTGTGGAAAGAATCGACTGTGTGTAGCTGAATTTTGAGAACAGAAATAATCATGATTTATAAACCTAGAAAACAATTTGATTTCGCAGGCTCTTACAGACCTATCAGTCTGCTCCCCATTCTTTCAAAGCTATTTAAAAAATTATTGTTTGAAACCTTGAATATATATTTATTCCAACAGAACCCTCTTACCAGAGCAACAATTCGATTTGTGTTTAATTATTTCCAGAATCGAACAAGCGTTCATATCGGCTTGTAAAACATAAAAAACTGAAGCGTTTGAAACGAAAACGTTCAGTTTTGCAATATTTTTGGATATTAGTCAGGCATTTGACATTATAGAAGGTGTACGTGAATCGGATGGTAAAAACCGAAACTGGGGAAACCTGAGCCAAATTCAGAACGATAATTTTTATCCAGGGCACATTTTAAAATTATTCTTCAATATACGGAATGCGCTATAAATATATGGTGATGATAAACTGTAGTTTTTAAACGAAACTCCTCCCTTTCTTCCGATTTTTGGGTAAATTGTTACATTTTAATGCAAATTTATCACCGCTCAACAAAAACCTTATACTTTGAAAACTTGAAAAAACTTTGAAACTCAACAATGCAGACAAATCCTGACTGCTGCTGGCGATAATATTTCTGTTAGAAGTTTGAAGTCTTATTTAGTCCAATTCTTTTTCCGTAAGTCCCTGGTTGTGCAAAAATTATGTGAATTGTGAAGATTCTGCATGCTCCCAGCTGAGCAAAAAATATTTTCTAAAGGAAATGGTTTTTTAATTTTTCACCTATATCTTTTATTTACAGGCTGCTCAGAAAAAAATCCACTTTTTGATCTTGCAGTAATAGCATTTTTCGTCTTGGCCGATTTGCATTAAAAGTGATCCAAATGAGAACTGCCTTCGAAATCTGGCAGACGTTCAATTAAAATTAAGTTTATTTACAAATAATCCGTCCATCCATCCAACCTGTATAAATAATATTGATTTTAAGTCGATTATTAAGTTTTGATTTCAAAACGAGTCCCAGATTTTCAAAATCGGTTCGAGAAAAAAAATGTTATCACCGCAACTCCATAAAGTTGATTTTTTGAGATCACATAAAAGACATAGACAAAAAATTCAAAAACCGTTGGGAGATGTGAGGTCAATATTTATGCCTTTGTTGTTGAAGCCCAAAAAAACTTTTTTTGCTCAACTGGGAGCATGCCGAATTTTCAGAAGATTTGCATTGTTTTATCGTCCACCCTGTAGAAAGTTGATCAAAAGTAACTAATTTAAAATTATGTAAAAATACAGACTGACAGAAAAAGAATTGGACTAAACAACGCTTCAAACAGAAATCAAATGGGTTGAAACAATAACATTTGATCCCGTTTGAAAATTAGTACAAATGTGGCCGTGTAACGTTTAATTTGTTGAGTAGTTTATTTGGAATAATATGTAAATTTAAAGAATTGCTGGGTTGTATAGAAATCCGTACTGCAAAGAGCGTCTAATAAACTACGTGGTGTTTTAATTTATAAAAGTTTTTCACAAACCGGCAAAGAAACCTTTAAAGTTGCATGTTTTAAACCTCAATAACTTGCGTTTTTCAAATGGAGCACCCAATGTTTTTTCGATTTTCGGTTTTGCCGGTAAATTTTAGAGCCAGTAAGGTTATCTCAGTTTCATTTTTATTATATTTATTTTTCATATTTTTATTTTTTGTATTACTTTACACTAAGAGCATTCCAGTGTGCAGCTTTTATTACATTGCACTTAGCCTAGACAGAGAAACGTGTAAGATACGTTTTTGACTTTGTAAATAATTAAGCAGTTTAATTAAATTCCTTAGCGTAAACTTGAGCTAAATAAATAAATTTTAATATGCCAATTTCTTCGAAAAGGCATTTAAATTCTGCTTTTAATGAAAACAGATCAAACCCTGATGTTCGCAGATGTTTTAACCGAATGTGAACCTGTTGTTAAACAAATAATGATAATATTTGCATGTATGAAAGGAAATAGGCAAATATGTATGTAAATGTAAAATGCTGAAATTTCAGCTGATATGAAGGATTACTTGGTAGGGCGCACACGTATGTGCCTATTGGATACCCAACAATGGACAAATGTACGCGTATATAGAAAACTTGACTATCTAAATCCTTAAAGATAACAGAAGCAATAAAACTGTTCAAATAAATTGTAGGTTAACGTATTTGCATTTGGTGAGTAAGTAGATAAGTATAATCGTAAAGAGTGCTAACTCCATTTACTTAGGAACTTTATTGCTCATTTTGCATCCCGGTTTGTTCATTAATATTAGGTAAAGCAATATCACTAATGAAGGGATGAGTGGATTAATATTATAAATCTATATACAAAAAACGACACACAATATTTTAGATTAATCTTTATCATTAAAAACCAGTTTATCACTTACCATTACATATTCTTCGACAACTTCCGAAGCACTAACATTCAACTGATTTAATATTATCAACAAATTCGTATTTTTCCGCAAACTATTTCCACATGAACTGTGCCTAAGCTCATTGCTTCATTCGCAACAACTATTGGCCACATAAAATTTCTAACTTAAACAAATGTGTTTTGATTACAGTAAGTAACCCATCTAGTGGAGAAGTAAATAAAAAAATAATTGATGACGACTACCATTTAACTTTTGCTATTGAGATTTTACTCAACATGTGCGTCTGTCTGTGTGAATTATATTGGCAAGGTTAATCGTGGGGAAATTGTCGCATTTTTGAAATTACGTTTGATATGCTTTCTATCTTATCAACTCATTTTAATGGGTATTGGGTAATTTGTTAAAGATTACGCTGACCTCGTCATTATCAATTTTTTACATCAATGATCTCATCGCCATCAAATCATTGAACTTCATTTTTAGTTTGTTTTAATCAACATTTTTCATTGGTCTTAAGGTTATTAGAATATCTTCGTTAGCTAAAAATTTGTTTCGCATCTTTTCGTGTCTCTCTTTTACCGTTCTTTATTGCATATCGGTTTTCGACGGTTTCATCGCTAGTTGCTTCATATTTATCTACTTATTTCCAAATTTCTCATCAATGCTCTTATTCTCGAATATATCATGCAGCATGTTTGTTCTTTTAATATTTTTCTGTAATTTTAGTCAAATTACTTTACTAATTTGTTAATTGATTTTCACATATAATCACATTTAGTTCATTAGATTTATTTCTGGGTTTTAGCCTGCGTTTTATATAAATTTTCTCCAACTTCCCGTGGTCTTGGAAATTGCATCAATTAGTTGAATTTCGTCCAACTTCGCAACAGTGTCATTATCCTTTGTTTCCTCCACTACTTTAGCGTTGCTTTATTTAAATTTATATTCCATATTAAATTGAATACTACGCATTTTATTTTTTTAATGCCTTCGTTGTTATGTGAACATACAACATGTTCTGCATATTCATTATTTATTATTTTTTCCATTCTTTTAATGCCATTTTGGTATCGACGGATTTATCACTAGTTGTTTTATATTTACTTATTTCGAAAGGTCTTATCAATTCTCTAATTCTAGGATTCATCACGGAGCACGTTGGATCTTTTCAATATATATTTATAACTTTTTTCAAATAACTTTATTAATTCTTAATTGTCATAAATATTCACATTTGGTTCATTGTATTAATTTCTTGCTTTGGAACTTCTTGTAGCATATTTGATCGTTTACTATTTTTGATGGCTTTTTTTCAAATCTTTCTTTGAATTTAAATATTACTTTATTCATTTTTTAATTAATTTACTTTAAAATTCACCTTTTCATCATTCATTTCATATCAATTCCTTCCAACGTCAAGTAACCAGAAAAACGACTTTTTTGAAGAATATATGAATTAGTTGAAATTCGTTCAACTTCCTATGAGGATCCTTCATCCTACTATTTTAAAATTGTTGCTTTACTTAAACTATTTTTTATTTAGTATTAAAGTTTACGCACTTTATTTCTTGAAAACAATTGTCATGTTTGCTAATATTAAACAAAATCTTCTGTCTTCTGAGTATTCACTATTTCGTGTCTTTCTTTTTTGGCTCATTTCAATACAAATCTGTTTTCGAGAGTTTTATCACAAAAAATTACTATATTTAGTTTTTCAACCTGAAGCATTTTTTAACTTTTCCTACCGCTTTGCCACCTTTTCCAACTTTCTTTTACTTTAATTACAACCTTATTCATTAATTTTCTCTAAAATCTACGTTCGGATCATTATATTGATTTCCTGGTTTTAATCTGCCCTTTATATCAATTCCTTGAATTCATGAAAATGAAGGTCATATCAATTAATTGAAACTCGTCCCTTTTTTAATCAGTACAATTATTTTTTATCCTTTTAGAATTGTTGATGTAGTTAGTTTTTTGTATATTTTATTAAGTACCTACTACCCAATTTTTAAGTAGTATTTTATAGAGTACGATGTTTACAGTTTTGTTTTCCATTTTATAATTAATACCGTATATAAATAATAATTACATTAATAATTCATATATGGTATCTATGTTCTTTCTAATAGTTCAATTCAGTCTCAGCCTCCTTGTCCATCATTTTTTCTAAACTTTTAAAAGCTTTTAAAACTTTCCCGAGACTGTACATTTTTAAAAACTGAATTGTATTATAATGCAGTTTTAAAAAATGCAATATATTATATTTTTTTGCATCGATTAGCTTTGAGTAAAAAAAGTTGTAGTAAATTTTAAAGTCATGCATTCAATTCTTGTTTCAGTTGCAGGAATAAGACCTTGCAATTTTTCTTAATAAATTAAAATCAAAATGTTGCAATTTTCTACTACATATTGGACCTATTCATTATTAATCGCTGCAGGTTTCAAGATAATTCAGTTTCGGATACCTTCTCCATTAAATGGGTAAAACTTCCTGTTTTACACTGAAACTAAAACTGTGACAAAAATACGAAAAAAGTAGAACAAACTTTGTTTTCAATTCAACACCGTGTTTCCTAATAAATTTATGTTTAAAATTAATAGTTTTTAGTTTTTCTCAACAGCATTTTCCATACATTTGAAATCCCAAAACATTCGGAAAAATATCCGGAAAATGGTCTTCAGAAGTTTCAATATTTTAAAGCTTAGGTTGAAACATTTTATATTTTAAAAACACAACCATTTTTACCTCAAAAATTGCAGAACAATTAATTTTTTCACACTGATTTAATATTGATGGCCCCTCAGAAGAACTTATTTTCCACTTTCGAAATGATGGAATATGGAGGATTGTGGTAATATATTTGAGTGCAAATTGTTAGATTCCATCTAAAACAGAGAGGCACGGATGGAAAGATTATCAACTCGAAAAATTATAAACTGTTATATTTATTATCTGCCAAATCTACATATCTTCAGAAATATCACATATAAGACTTAAACGGTAACAGTAGCAGAAGATGAAAGTTAATTCGAGTGTATATTTTTGCGCTTTTTGCTTTCGAAAACTAACAAATAACTTAATTAGTTATTTGTATGTTATGACGTGCTCGTTGTAAATTTTCTTATTTATTCACATTTTCAGCAGACAAATATTTATAAAGTTATAGTAAACATGTTATTTTTTCACTACTTTGGAGTTTGTTTAAATTTTTTTTTCAATTACCTTGTTTTTGTTAATTTTTTTCCGGATAAAACGATTTAACCCATTTCAATGACATTATTTTTCTCTTTATTACATTTCAAGAAAATTTTTCGAAAGAATTTTCTTTGCTTTCTTCAATTATCAACTCGTATCCAAAAATACCGAAAACGCACTCTTGAATTAGAATAAACTAAAATGTGCACACGGTTTACAAATAATTGGATTAACAACGTACCTTTTTTGCACACAATTCCCCATGTTTTATTTAACAAGGGCTGGTGAACTTGAAAATATTTTCACTTTGCTCTATTGTTTAGCTTACACTTAACTAGAACATATACTGAACGCACTTCAACGTAGCTTAACTGATAATTGAGCAAGTTTTAATTTCTAACGTTTTAAAAAACATTTTAGATACTTTTTGGCAATAACATAAGAAATGGTTAATTTTGAGCTAGAAACAAAAATTGCGGAGTGGCGAAAATGGGATAGACACCCCGAAACCAAAGATGCCTTGAAACAACTACTCAAAGAAAAAAACTATGTTGAATTAGAAAAAATAATGTTGCATCGAATTACTTTTGGAACAGCCGGCTTAAGGTTTGGTTGATAAAGTATTCAAATCAAAATTTAAAAATTTGGGCCGCCTGTTACGTTTTAGAGGAAAAATGGCTTTAGGATATTCCAACATGAATGATCTCGTCGTCATTCAAACGGCCCAAGGATGGTTGAAATACCTACAAGTGAAAGATGTGATATTGCTAAGGAAAAACGGGATCGTTGTTGGTTATGATGGAAGACATAATAGTAGAAGGTATTTTTTTATAACTATTTTTTCCAATCAAATTAAGCACTAATAACCGTCATTATATGAATACTGAACAGCCTTGAGTACACCCACTGTTGGTGTAACCGAAACGTCGGTTATTATTCTGCGACATTTATTCTAGATGGGCAGAATTTACAGCAGCTATATTTGCTCGCGCTGATTGTCCAGTTAAACTCTTTGGAGGTGTTTGTCCCACCCCGTTTATATCTTATGCAATTGGAAAATATGGGTGTGCTGGTGGCGTTATGGTAACCGCATCACATAATCCCAAAGAAGACAATGGATATAAGGTGAGTGAAGTGAAATAAGAAGAGAATCTACATTAATGAAGTCAATGAAGTCGAAGAATGAAGAAAAGGGAATGAAAACCCTGATTATTCTAGCGGTACTCGAATTTTCGAGGTGGTGGGTAGATTTTTGGAGTTTTCCATATACGAATCTTAGTCTTAGTCGCAACAGTTTGTGAGTTTAAAGCGAATTGCAAATGCCTTAATAATTCATTAATTTTTAGGCAATGTATGTTATTTTTAAACTCAAAAATTGCGACCATTTTGAATTTTAGTTTGCTCAACAAATGAATTCAATATTGCAGTCGCCAAGAAAGTTTTTTAAATTTTGCAAAGGCAAACAATTCAATTTAAGATAGAGAGATACTATCGGGGTAGTTTAGCAAACCAGTACTTGATCGTGATATAATAAAATAGTTTTAAAACAATCACCATTGGCATAACATTTCCGATACTTACACAAAATTAAGCATTTTCCTAGCAAATTAGTTAAAATTTCGCACAATAAGTTAAAAATATAGAATTTGTTCATGTTGTGATTTTTTGCTATTAATTAAAGGAGCTGAGAAGCTGAAAGCGTATACATTTTATCTGGACATTTGGCGATAATTTTTGAAGCAATTTGTTTCCAATATTTAATTTTGACAATTGATTTAGTCTACTCATTTGTTTTTTAAATTTGCTTTGCTTTTTTAGTTATCAAATCAGCAATTTTAGTTATTTTCATTTATTCATTGACTTTCTGCTCAAGCGATCAGAAAATGAACGACATTTGAAAAGGAATTATTTTTGTTACAATCCTCTTTTTTTACATCAGTTTTGTTAGCAATTTATTTTGAATGTTTTGTAGCAAGCAAAAATGGGGAAATAATTAGGAAACCACTTCTTTATCACATACTTAGTTTGCACTATTTTTTTCATATTACAAAATATTTGAACTAATGCAAGGAACGTTGAAAATGTAGAAACAATTTAGTGATACGCATTTTAATAATGTCTTTCAAATTTTACGACGCAAACAAAATTTAGGAAAAATCGTCAATTTAGAAAAGACTTGACAATAATAAATTTTTATTGTTAAATCATGGTTTTTTAAAATATAAATATTTTAAATATTGTCACCTAAAATGGATTTAGTAACATTTGGTAAACTAAAAGTGTAATTTCTTCTTCTTCTTCTTTCTGTAAATGAGTAATTTATGTAAAAATTTGCGGTAAGAGCTGATAATGCAAAAATAATCTGATTACAAAAACCAACTGTCCCAAAGACTGTATAGACGAAATTGAGTACAATTCAGAATCAAGAAAGGTGCAAAAACTTCTAAAGACGTAAACAGAACAGTTAACTACCAAAATGCATCTGATAAACCAGAAATTAAACTACAAAATACACAATACAACATAACGATTCTATTCAATCGAGTCCGCATAAACCCTCGAATGATTTCGATTCGTTTTTTTCGAAAATTGGTTATAAATTTGTGGATTCAGTGGAATTACATTAATGTTCAAAGCATAGAGACCATTAACACATCACTACGTTTATTAAGAGATTAATTAATTATAAGTTAATAATAAGAGACCATGTCATGATAAATTTGAGCTTGATTTTTTAAATAATTTTATTTATATTTGGTTGAAAAAATCGCAATGCTACTCTGATATCGCCTTCTCCAGTCACGATTTGTTTTCTGTTTTTATTTTGGTTAATGCCGAAAGTCGAAATTCCTACAAATAAGATATAGAAAATTGTAATAATATTTTTAAAGCTCTTTTCGCATTCATGGAATACTCATCTAATGCTAATTCAAAATAAATTTGTTGGTGTTTCCGAAAATTTAAAAATTTAATTTCAATTATTATAAATCAAAATAAGTGCGTCTTCTTCATTCAAAGTTAACTTAAATACAGAAGTACTCGTTATCACAAATGGATTACGAAATTCTCTTCTCTAATCTGGAGAAATGTTGAATAGCAATTTTATGAATGAACAGTTTTATTCAAATTGTTAGAGACTGACTCAAACTTTTCTAAATTGCCTTCTGAACAGTTCATCTGTTGATTTTATTATATTTTCATTCCGACTTTGCGTACTTGAATTTACGTTATTAAAAATATCAAAATGTCTGATAAGTAAGCTAAGTGAGTAATATTTTATCTTCCAACAAATGAACCAAATCGATGCAATTTTATTTAGCACACGAGATCAAACTTTTCCTTTGCACAACCATCTTACTTCCCTATGCAGTAATAGGATTCGTACTAAGCTTGGTATAAATTACTAAATAAGTGGCTTTTTAGTGGTTTCGTATCACATAATTAACCATTTTAATATTAACACATTGCTCCAGAACTATTTTCAAATCTGATGGCTAATATTTTGGACATTTTGGGTGTGTGTCCTTAACTCTATTTATAGTAGGTAAGGCTCCTGATGTGTAATACTAACCACTTAGGTCCCAGTTTTCAACAAATTTATAGTTTGATTTAACACTTTTTTGGGACTAACATATTAAAAATCAAATGAAATAATTCAGCAAACATCTGCCCATTATCTCCTTGTTTAAACATTCTGTCTCAAAATGCAAAAATTTCTTCAGAATTCAGGATTAATCATATCATCTTAACAGGCCTATTCCATGGCCTGATATGGTTGCTAATTTAAATAAAATATACATGTGTTTTATACAGTTTTATATACATTTTGTGAGTTTGCTAATTTACTACATATATTACTTATTATTATGTTCGCGGTTGCTATTTAAACGCGGCTTTTCGCGACTTAAAACTGGGGAACGGTAGAAAGCGTTGCCGCTTTAGGAAAAAAGCTGGTAGCACTATTAGAACCGTAAATAAAGATCATCCTTAAAAAAATTGTTAATTTTAATAATTTTGACATATTTATATACGTAGGTAGTACTTTCCTTTAATTTAAACTTTACTAGAAGACAAATAACCACAAGTAATATATTTTTTTAAATATCTAGGTAAACTAACCGTTTTCTCAAAATATGAGGAATAAATTACGCGCAACTACTGACTATCCATAATATAACTATTGAGTTTGGCAGAAAAAAAAACAGTTTATGTTGAGCTAAAGACGAAATTTGAAATGTTCGTTCTTTGATCCTTGCTTAAGAACTAAGTTATACGTGATGGGCAAATTATATTAAACTAATAAACACAATATGTGTCCATCAGGATGGCAAGAAGAGATCGGATTCTGGGTAATTGAGCAGTTCCTCAAACATAGGTTTTGCGGTTTTCCTTGGCCTGTTTTTATTACGTTAATTCATTTTTGTGCTTGCATGCACCAAGGTGGAGTTTGATTTCCATACATTTAAACACAAATGAACGCCATTTATCATTGAACCCAATTATTTTGCAGGTGTACGACTCAAATGCATGCCAAATAATTGATCCAGTCGATAAAAAAATTCAGTCTGCAATTCTGAGAAACCTGCAGCCCTTAGAGACGTCTTGGAATACTTCAATAATAGGCTTCACCCCACTGATTACTGATCCGTTGCACCAATTGACCGACGATTATACCAAATTGGTAGCTTCTACAATCAATCCGGTATACGTAAACAATAATAAAAAAACCCAATTATCCTTTACTTATACGGCTATGCATGGAGTGGGATATAAGTATATGAAGCGTGTGCTAGATGCCATTGGAGTTCACATAATACCGGTAGAAAAACAGAAAAATCCGGATCCCGAATTTTCAACAGTAGAGTAAATTACTCATTTAATATTTAGTTGCCTTTTAGTAAGTTTATAGTATTTTACTTTTTAAAGATATCCTAATCCGGAAGAAGGGGAGGGTAGCTTGAATTTGGCTATTAAAACCGCCGAAATGTTTGGTAATACTCTTATCATCGCCAATGACCCTGATGCGGATCGATTTGCGTTTGCAGAGAGAGACATAAAGTTAGTTGAAAATTTTTCTAATTCCACCAATAGTGCACTAGTAAAATCGGCTTCCTTATCGAAAGCTCTAGTGTTTTATCAATGATCCTCTTCTAGTTGTGTAGCATTTTTGTAATCTATTTCCTTAAATAGAAAGTTATTATTAATTTGTATAGTACTGGCGACTGGAAAATCTTTACTGGTAACGAACTGGGAGCGTTATTGGGTTGGTGGATGCTTCATTGCTATGAAATTGAACATAAAAACGCGCCAATGGACCGTATCTATATGCTGTCAAGCACAGTTAGTTCCCGCATCCTGCAGATAATAGCTAAGGCCCGTGGATTTAATGCTATAGAAACGCTTACTGGCTTCAAGTGGATGGGTAAGTCTTTGTGTGAATATTACGCAAATGTAAAAAAGAAAAAGAAAAATTGAAGAAAGACTGTTGTTGTAGGCAATAAAGCACTTGAGCTTCGTAAGCAAGGCAAGACGGTGCTTTTCGCTTTTGAAATCGACATCGGCTTTATGTGTGTTCCAGAGATTTTAGATAAAGACGGAATTTCCGCTGCAGCTCATTTTACTACGTTATGTTCTTTTGTTTACAGGTAGGCAAGATTACCCATTAAACTTATTGATGGATAAAAGATAAACAATCGGCATTTAATAAGAAAAAATAAAAAATGGCTTTGACCCAACAACAACAAAAAATAAATGTAGTTCTAAAGCTAGGTAAAGCTAGGTTTTATTTCTCTACCTTTGGAGAATGTGTTGCCCAATGTTTATAAAGCAATTGAGCAAATTTTGTTATATTAAATATTTACATTTTTTTTATTTTAAAAAGTAAGGCTTTAGCTATTATACAGCACAACTTTATGATGACGACATGAAACATTGAAATTTTAACTAAAATAATAAAAAAAGGAACGCACCAAGCACCCAAAGAAGTCATCGGTATGAAGGAAAGCAGGCCCAGAGAGAGGAATTATTGGAGGATGACCTACAAGAAATGGAAGAACAATAGCAAACGTTATATGACAAATGATTGAATACAAAAAAACAAGAGACAACACAAAACAGAACAAACAGAAACAATAGCCAAATTTAAATATTCGGTAATGAAAGCAAAAATCAAAGCTGGTAATAGAAATTTCAGAAATTGGATACCTATATATATTGGTGAAAGAAAATCGAAATAATCATGTAGGTTTATAAAAAACATGAGATCTAACAGAAATTAATACGTAATAATAAACTCTATGGAGCCAGAAAAATTAGGACAACACTATAAATAATTACTAGTAGAAAAATGCCTGAATACAATACACTACCATTAACACGAAGTACTGATTCAAAGGGATCATCAACTTAGGCGACCCAGGTCTAGAGGGAATATACGCAAAACTAATAAAAAAACGGAACGAGGAATTAAGATTAAAACAGTTTTTCTAATAAATGCGCTGTATATACGACACAACTCCACCTACATCAATCTAGCTTTAGATTAGGGAAATACTAGTTTAATTTGGAATATTATTAGCAATTTTGCAGTAAAAACCAGAGAGCAAAACAGTTAAATATTTTATTTGTACGTTGTTATAGCAGTGGGATGCAAATGGCTGATAAACTCGACCAAATCTACAGCATTTTCGGATATAATGTCTATAAATACTCTTACTATCTGTGTAGCGACCGAGCACTAATTACTAAGATTTTTCAAAGGATACGAAATTACAAAGAAATTTTTGGGGTAAGTTTTTCTGTACATGGAACGGAGAAAAGTGAGTACACTCTTATAGTAAAAACTAAGAATTTATTTCAATTGTGCCATTTGTACTTGCTTGAGCCAACAAACTAAAAGTTTATTGTTTCAAAAACATCCACGGCAACGACTCATCAAAAAACTATTACTATAATATGACCTAAACAATTAGACAATTCTTCAAAGAATTTCAGTTTTAATAGAAATCAATGAAAATGTATATAAGTATATATTTATATACTAAATAAGACTTTTCATTTTGCAAAAAAATCTCCAACATTTGATGATGTTTTCCTCCATAGCACAAATATTTTGACCCTAGAGCTTCTCGGTAACTGACTGTTTTTTCCTTTATTCGGTTTTAAGAGAAATCTTTAGCTTTCACAAACACGAACATTTCAATCGATATTTACTGAATTTATCGTCTGAGTATTTAGGTAGCCAAGAGTCTTCTAAACATGCTGACAATTTGAAAGTACCTACTTCTTGCTTTAGTTTGGAAGATGCGAATTTTTAAAGGCGAGAGCGCTATTGGATAAATACATCTGGAATGAGTTGAATATTTACTAATTTTGAGTCCCATATTTACTAACTTAGTAAAACTCAGAAGGTTTATCAGATTTTGATGAAACTTTCAGATTCTTTAGAGATATTTGCCTTTTAAAGATGCTGATTTCAAAGCACTTCTTGCTTCAGTTTGGAAGATGCGCATTTTTAAAGGTGACAGTTGAGTAAAAGCATTTGGAACAAGACGAATATTTATTAATTTCGAGATCAACATTTACCAAGCTGACAAAAATCAGAATGTTCCCCTAGTTTCATGAAACTTTAAGTGTCTTTAGAGTCAGGTGCCTTCTAAAAATTGTGAAAATTTCAAATTAGTACGTGCGTTTGGTTGGAAGATGGAAATTATTTAAGGCGAGAGTGCAGTCGAGTAAAATCACCCAGTATGAGACGAATATTTAATAATTTTGAAACCCATATTAATCACGCTGGAAAAAATCAGAATTTTCTGTGGTTTTCAGGAAACTTCAAACATCTTTAGAGTCAAGTGTCTTATATAAATGTAAATAAGTAGTCTTATAAAACTCAGAAGCTTTATGATTTTTTAATGAAACTTTCAGAGTCTTTGCAGCTTAGTGTTTTATCAATATGCTGAAAATTTTAAAGATCTGCTTGCTTCAGCTTGGAAAATAAGGTTTTTTTTAAGGAGAGAGCGCGAGTAAAAACATCCTTTTACATTTACCAAGCTGCAAGAAATCGGAATTTTCACAGATTTGTATAAAACTTTAAGCGTCTTTAGAATCAAATGCCTTCTAAAGATGCTGGAACTACTCAACTCAACTACTCAAATTATTACGCACTTTCGGTTGGAAGCTGCAAATTATTTAAGGCGAAAGCGCAGTCAAGTAAAATTATCCAGTTTGAGACGAATATTTAATAACTTTGAGACCCATATTTACCAAACTAGTAAAAATCAGAATTCTCTGAGATTTCTATGAAACCTTAAGACTCTTTCGGGCAAAGTATCTTCTAAAGATGCTGAGAATTTCGAATCAATTTTTATTTTCTGAGAATATTCAAAATGCTCTGCAGTTCTTTAGAAAATCATAATCGCATGCAGAAAATGTGTAGCACTTCAGGTTATTATTTATTTTTCATCATATTTCTCGGAAACGTTTAAAAATAAACAATCATTAGCAGCGTTGCGAAAAAACCTGTAAAAATTGTTTCTATGTTAACAACCTGTTCTGTCTACTTAATTATAAATATATATTCACTACTTCATTATAAATATCGGGGCAAAAATATTAATTTATGAAATGTATTTCACTTTTTATAACTTATTCGAACCGTTCCTGAAGTGATTTTTTAAAGTTTGAGATCAATGGGGAAAAGCGACTTGCTTGATGAGTAGTGAGCAGTAGGTACTGATTTTTAATTTGAACAAATAAATCAGATTAAATTAATTTAATACTCTGCAAAATACAAAGTGCAATTTTCACTTTTTCTGTTGAATTATTAATTGATAAATACTTTTTGATATTTTAATATTAAACTGAATTAAATTTAATATCCTCCTCTAAGCTCCAGTGTGTATCTAATCGAACTTGACTATTTAACGTTGGCCAGATATATTTTTTTTCCGGCGATGTTTGGGAAATGCTCTTTTATGCACTCCCAAAGCTGGTGGTCTGTTGCTCTGGGTTGTGTGGGACTCCAGCTAAGCTGTTTACCCACTAAAACCCTTTCCTCACCGCCGAGGTGGTGTTTGGCCTTGAGCCGCGGTCATTTCTGTGCTATTGTGCCCTCGTAACTCCCTCATTATCCCTGTATATTCAATGAATTCCAGAAGAATCTTGAGGGGAGTTTGCATGATCTGGTCTGGTGGAATTTCATCCCCTCCCAGGAGTCATCGTCTACCTGTTGCATATGACGTACAGTGACACATAACATGCAGAGTAGTTTCGTCCTCTAATTTGCAACCCCTGCAGGTCGGTTGATCGCTCAGTCCCATCCTGAAGAGGTGTTTTTTGCAGGGGGCGTGTCCTGTTAAAAAGGCCACTATCCTCCTTATTTTTTGCCTGCTGAGACCTTGCAGTTCATTTTTACGTACTGGTTGTGGAGGTCCCACCAAATGCTTTGCGGTATGGAGTCGCGGTGTCTCCTCCCAGTACTTTCTGTGTTGTTCCAAGATCCACTGCCCAACTGCCACCCTAACTTGGGCATGAGATATACC